TATTTATTTATTTATTTATTCATTTATTATTATTTTTTATTATTTTTCATTTATTTATTGATTTTTGTTTGATTTTTTTCATTTATTTATTTGTTTGTTTGTTTGTTTGTTTATTTACACTGACTCGTACTTTTTTGATAAATATACTGATTATCATTTCCTATATTTCTTTTTTTTTTTTTTTACATCGTTTTCTTCCATACTGAAATAAATGGAATGGCACTTTATGGTTCACTCCATTTACGTAGTCTGTACTGTTCTTCTTACCTCATTTGATGTTCTGTTTTTTTGAAAGATTTCCAACTCACCTGAAACTGTTACAGTGATGAAATCACTCCACTCTGTGATGGAAAACTCGTCCCTTCTGCCCCGACAGCTGAATTCTCCACTGTCAGAAACTCTGATTTCTCTGGATGTTTCAGGACTATTTAACCATTCATACTTCCACTGAGTTCCTCCTCCTCCTCTAATCTGACATGTGGCAGTGACTGTCTCTCCTCTGTATATCAGAGTCCAGCTGGGCTGCAGGACCACTGTGGGCTTCGGGGGAACTGTTCACATAGAAACAAACACTTAGAGCTCCAACACACACTCAGTCAACACAAACAATTGAATGAGTTCTTCACATATTTTTGTTTCAGGATGGATCTCCACCTGTTCTTATGATGTTTTTCCACAATTAAAGTTCTGAACTCACCAGTTTCCTGAATGATGACGGGGTCACTATGAGATGTGGAGGTTATCCAGCTGTTAAACCCTCCGCAGGTGTATTCACCTACTTCCCTTATTATGAAAACTCCAGACTCTTTATAGTCTATGTACTGATATGTCGATGAGCTTCTGTAGAGTCCATAAATGAGGTCTGATCGACCCTCCACAGAGCAGGTCAGTGTCACACTGCCCCCTGCTGGTAGGATTTCTCTGTCTGCTCTCAGAGTTGGTTTGATTTGAAGTTCTGAAAGTTCAAAAACAACACAAAAAATAACATAACTGTATAAAAGTGTAAATCACGTTATAAAACGTTCATAAATAATCTGAACAATAACAAAGAGATTTCATTAAAATATTAAAGAACACTTTCATTTAATCATTTTGTAAATGGTATTTCTCATCATTATTAGTATCATTAATTCATTCTGTTCGTCCTTTCAGAAAAATTAGGTCCCTCCTCAAACTGAAGCATGTAAAGCTTTTCAACCCGGAGAGAACCCACAGACACAGGAGAACATGCAGACTCCACCCAGAAAGGTCCTGGTTCCCCCGGGACTCCAACCCAGAACCCTCTGGTCCTGGTTCCCCCGGGGACTCCAACCCAGAACCCTCTGGTCCTGGTTCCCCCGGG